AGAAGTAATAAACAAACTGTGGTATGTAAAATATAGGCCATATAAAAATGTTTTGCAGATCACGTCACCTGCATAAATGCGTCCAAAACTGTGTTTTATATGACCTTTTATTATTGGTTTGCAGCAAACTATGCAGATTAAAATGTTACTTGGGGTTATTCAATTTAAATTTGTAAATGCTATGATATACTTATAAATGCCAATGTTATGAAAGATAAGAAATATATTTGTTTTCACTGGTAAATATTTATTCATGTTTTGGCTTGAAGTCACTATGATCCTTTGGGCTGAATATTTCTCTAAATATTAAGCATAAAATATTTCAGAGTTCATATTACTTACATAAATTTACGAAATGAGAAAATTTTGAACATATAATTTAGTTATATGCTTAGATAAAAGAGACCAGAGATATAACATACACCGGGTGTTTAAGCTGCGCAAATGTTGCCAATTTCTAAAGAAAGGTTAACGGAGTGGGGGAACTAAGCAGAGACCCGAACTCTGTGACAGGGACCGGACTTTCTTTATTAGCATAATAATGAACTATTAGATTTATTTAAAATATATGTTCAATGGAATTTTGTATTATGAAATAAAATTAACGTGATTTTTTAATATCAAACAGATGCCACGACATTTTATGAAAAGAAAAGACCTTTTATGGAATATTTCGTTAGCGTTTATTTACTACGGACTTTTCAGCAAAAGACTACAGTAAAATGTTGAAATACAATATTGTTAATAGAGCAAGAAATGGTATTCATTGTCTAAGAGTATTATAAAAAAAGCATGTGCGCAGGCGAATACTGCAAATGAAACGTTGTGAGTTAAACTTTATATTTTTTCTACGGCTATTACATAATATTAAAAATTAGACAATGTGAGAAAATGCTGTTTTGTATTGTAACCTCAGAAAAAGGTGTATTAAAGCTTATTTTTTTTAGGAATATTAATTAAAAGTCATTTGGTCGCTAGGGGTGGGTGATTATCGAAATAAATTATCGATCATTGAAAATAATCGATTATTTTCGATCAATCGATTATTTTCAAACATTCTATTATTTGGCGTATTTCCTTTAAAATCGACTACTTAATTATTTTTGAAAAATCAAAAATAATCGATTAATTAAAAAGCCAATTAACCGATAAATCAGTGTTTTCAAAAAATAATAAAAGAATTATCGTTTATTTTAAATAATCGATTATTTTCAAATAATCCATTTTGTTTTTTGTCAGTTGAAACAGATTATTCGATAATCTTTGAAAAATTGAAAATAATCGATTAATCAAAAATAATCAATCTATTAATTAAAAAGTCGATTAATAAATCGATTTTTAAAAGCAAATTATCGATTATTTTAAATAATCGATTATTTTCGAACAATCGATTATTATCAATAATTTATTTTTATTGTATTTCCTTTAAAATCGATAATTCGATTATCTTTGAAATACCGAAAATAATCGATTATTCCAAAATAATCGCTTAATCGAGAATAACCAATTAATTAAGATAAATCGATAAATCTATTTTCCAAAAAATTACCGAAATATCGATTATTTTCTAATAATCCTTTTCATATTTTCTTTAAAATTGAATTATTCTATTATCTTTGAAAATCTAAAATAATCGATAAATCGAAAATAATCGATTATAAAAAGCTGATTAACCGATAAATCGATAATTCTAAAAAATAACTGAAATACCGGTTATATAAAATAATCGATTATATTCGCTCAGTCGATTATTATCAATAATTTATTTTTATTGTATTTCCTTTAAAATCGATAATTCGATTATCTTTGAAATACCGAAAATAATCGATTATTCCAAAATAATCGCTTAATCGAGAATAACCAATTAATTAAGAAGCCGATTCTACGATAAATCTATTTTCCAAAAATAACCGAATTATCGATAATTTTCTAATAATCCTTTTCATATTTCCTTTAAAATTGATTATTTTATTATCTTTGAAAATCTAAAATAATCGATAAATCGAAAATAATCGATTATAAAAAGCTGATTAACCGATAAATCGATAATTCTAAAAAATAACTGAAATATCGGTTACATAAAATAATCGATTATATTCGATCAATCAATTATTTTCATATAATACCTTTGTGAAAATAATCGATTAAAAAAACGATTAAACGATAAATCGATTTTTCCAAAACAAAATAATTATTTTCAATTAATCGATTACTTTGAATAAATCTACTTTCTTTTTGTATTTCCTTTAAAATCGATTATTACATTATCTTAAAAAACAAAAATAAATTATTAAAAATAACGGATAAATCGATTTTCATAAAAAAATATCAGAATAATCGATAAATCGATTATTTTTGTAACCCCTATCGGTCGCTAGCTTTTATCCGAGCATTTAGCTCCAGAATTTAGAGATTCGGATTTTTTGATCTCGTTATCTTTGAAACCGCATTCGATTGTATAATAAATAATAAATATTGCTAGAATTTGGATTTAGTAAATGAAAATTTTATTCGAGTTGTTTAGGGGTTTATAGTGTAACATTTTATTAATAATGTGACTAACTCCCGTAACTTTAGTATTTTTTGCTTATACTAGATCATATTGTGCGTTTTACTTTGTTTTAAGACTTAAGATTCAAATGTCACTTTCGATTTGACCGCAAATAAGATGAACCTTGAAATTTTAAGTAGGTCATCCTGTATATAATCTAATAATCTTCTAAAAATACTTTATAAAAATAAAATTTAGCTAGCAACTATGTTTCTTTACTTCTTATTTAGGTCTAAAAACCACCTTTAGTAAATATTCTTATAAAACTACTTTTTAAAAACAAAATTACGTTAGCAACAATGCCTATTTACTTCTTATTTAAATTAAATGTTCAAAATTTTACCCTTTTGTATATTTATGTAAGTAATATGAAATCTGTTTTCTGAAATACCTATGTATTTAATGTTTAATATTTATTGAAACCCCTTAATGCGGACCTGAAGTATTCCGCCCAAAGGATCATAGCGCTTTATGTTAAAACGTCAATAAATATTTACCGCTGAAAACGAATATATTTTTTATCTTTCATAACATTGGTACTTGTATTATAAGTATATACGATTTTTCAAGATACATCGTGGCATTTTGAACCTAAAATTGAATAACTAAAACACTTTAAATTGCTAAAACACCAACAAATAAATCAAAAAACAGCTGTCAGTGGTGATTAAACTCAGGCGGAGGTGAGCGTTGAATGGAAAATCGGAGCAATTCGGGTGGCGTCGTGCGAACAATGATTTTTAATTGGTGGGTTACTTGGGGTTAAAATAGACAACATGCGCAGTGTGCAATGTTACATCTTCGGTCTCTTTAATCTAAGGTTATATGTAAATAAGAAGTAAACAGGCATTGTTGATAACGAAATTTTGTTTTCAAAAAGTAATTTTATAAGAATATTTATTAAAGGTAGTTTTTAGCTCTTTTTGGTTTGTAAGTAAATAAAGTAGTAAAGAAGCATAGTTACTTACGAAATTTTATTTTTATAAGAATATTAGATAAAATATGAGTTCATCTTATTTCTGGTCAAATCAGAAGTGTATTTTAAACCTTAGGTCTAAAAACAAAGTAAAACGTTCAATATGATCTATGATAATTAATCGATTATTGTCGATTAATCGAATATTTTCAATTTTTCAAAGATAAAATCGAATAATCAATTAAAAAAAAATAGATTAATTGAAAATAATCGATTATTTTGAATAAGCGATAATCGAAATTCTTTTTTAGAAAAATCGATTTATCGGTTAATTGGTTTTTTAATTAATTGATTATTTTCGATAAATTGATTATTTTTTATTTTAAAGGAAATACGAAAAAAAATAATCGATAGATAGAAAACAAACGATTATTTTAAATAATCGATAATTCGGTTATTTTTTTAGAAAAATCGATTTTTCGGTAAATTGATTTAATTAATCGATTATTTTCGTTCAAGTGATTATTTTCGATTTAACAAAGATAATCGAATAATCGGTTTTAAAGGAAATACGAAAAGAAAATAGATTAATCGAAAATAAACAATTGATCGAAAATAATCGATTATTTTAAATAATCGATAATTTAGGTATTTTTTTAGAAAAATCAATATATCGGTTAATTGGTTTTTTAATTAATCGATTATTTTCGACAATTTGATTATTTTTTATTTTTCAAATAGAAATACGAAAAAAAATAAATTATTTGAAACTAATCGATTAGACGAAAATAATCGATAATTTGTTTGTTTTTTTTTTAATCGATTCGTCCGTTTTTATTATTTTCAATCAATTGATTTTTCAAACAATCGAATAATCGATTTTAAAGGAAGTACAAAAAGAAAATAGATTAATTGAAAATATTCGATTGATCGAAAATGATCAATTATTAAAAATATTCGATTATTCTTTTTTTTTGAAAATTAATTTATCATTTAATCGGCTTTTAATTAATTGATTAATTTCGATTAATCGGTTACACAAAGATAACCCAATAAAAATAGATAATTTGACAATAATCGATTGATCGAAAATAATCGATAAGGCGGTTATTTAAAAAAAAAATCGATTTATTGGTTAAGTGACTTTTTAATTAATCAGCGATACTTGTCTGTTTCCTAAATCCACTTTGTCCTGGAGTAATTAAATTTTTGCGTTCTAATTCCCATAACAATCAATTGTTTACAATTTTTTTCAAGGATTCTGCACATTGTGCACGTAAGTGACATTGACCCATAAGAGTCCGCCGAAAGTTTGTTTTTTCCAGGTTTCAGAATGGGTATTACTGTTGCTTCTCTCCAATTGTTTGGGAATACATGGTCTTTCCATATTTTGTTAAATATTTCTAGTAGAATTTTTTTGCCTTTTTTGGCAATCATGACAAGAGAAAAATATTTGGGGTTCCCATTTTGACTATCAATTATTAATTTAATTTTTATAAAAGAATTTTTGCAACTGTTTTAATAATTACTTACTTTTTTTGAATATCATCGGGTTTGGCTTTTGTCTGATTCTGGTTTACTGATGGACCCCTATATCTAATAGTTGATTTTTCTGTAAGTCCGCAAATTTGATTCGTTGCATAATGGCGATAGTAAGATTCTAATATTGTGGCTACATTTGGTTCAGCCGGTAATTTCATAAGCTAAAAAAAATTTGAATTTGACAATGTAAAATACAGATCATAAGTCACTAAACATAGAAAGTTACAAACACCTCCTGCAGGTTTATTTTCGGCTTGCAAATAAACCTTATTTTGTAAGTGTATGGAAAATTTATTATAAGTTTAAAAATTTTTTATTTATAATCGGAAGTTTTTAAGAGAAAATTCATATTTTTAAACTTAAAGCAATCTTAATTTTTTATATTTGCAAAATAATATTAGTAGACAATTTTCTTTCATAAATTAATTTTTGAAAACTTTATATAAATTCAATAACACAAATTTATATCCAATTTTAATATAAAAAGTTGCCACGTTTATTTTTGGCTTAAAAATAACTTATTTCGATAATTAAGTGGAAAATTTATTAAAATTTTGCAAATTTTAAAATATATTCGAGTTTTTAGTATGTTCTTGAACGAACATTTAGATATATTTTTAAACTATAAACGAAGATACCTAAATCTACTTTTGTAATTTATGAAAATCAAATTATTCAAAAATTTATTTCAAAACTTCATACAGGTTCAATAACAAGTTTAGAAGGTACAATTCAGAGGCAAACTAAGGTTTACATTCTTATTGTTCATCTATACTGTTTCTTTTCAACTGAAATCAAACATCTCTATTGCAAAATCTCATGTCTGTATGTTCAGCGGGTTACCTAAATTAATTATTAATTACAATTTCTTTTCTGAAAGTCCTGTGTTCCTATTTATCTTTCTTTATTTGCAATAACACACAGGAATAAAACTTACTTTTTGTTTTTCCTTTATCAAACTATGATCGTTTTCGATTATTTTCCGCAAATCATCTGTCAGCTCAATGTAGATTGTTTCATCCTCAGTTGAAGAATCATCTTCTGAACTGGTCGTTATATCTTGTCCATCATCAGTATCCATTCTACCTGGGCTACTAGAACTACCATCTTCCGATGCAGAAACTCTATCTCCCGGTTTTCTGCTTTTTTTCCTCTCCTTTCTATACAAATAAGCTCCCCTAGAAATATAAACATAAAAAAAATGAAGTAATAAGTTATTTTAATACTCACAATTGTAATTGTGCTTTCTCAGCTAAGTCTTTTTGTAGTTGCCTGTTTTCTGCAGTATCTTTTAAGACATATTCTTCACCAACACATCTGTCCCAAGAAGAATTCCAGCCCTAAAATATATAATAATTTATCTCGAAAGAAATATAGACATTCATGTTTGATAAGTTAAATTTAAATACAGTATGTCCCAAAATTGCTGGGACATAGAGTTACCAGGTATTGTACAGATTAAAATAAGTCAATTGGACCCAATTTATACATATATTTTTAAAGAAAAGAATAGTACGCCACTGCTTTTTCTAAAAATTAAAATTATTTTTGAAATCTTCATATGGAACAAATTTGGTCCATAGACTTACTTTCATATGATGCACCGTTTTCGCATAAAAAAAAAATAAATACCATTTATGTGGATAGTCAAATTTTTTACTTAAATTGGTGGTTACCCACTTTTTTTTTGGACAAGAATTAATTTTCTACTTTCACAAATAACGTTCATGTAGACATGATATTGAATATTTGGATAAAAAAAAAACCATGAGCATAATATTAAATGCCCTCTTAAAGCAAATTAAATAACAATTAGTAGACTGGGTAAAGCGTTATAATTTTTGACGTTTCTTTTCAAGACACTAAAGTTGAGATTGATTTTATATTAAATAATTATTATTAGAGTAAGAAGTAAAATCTTGTTAGAAGCTGAGCGCACTAACTGTTTGTTTCATTGTGACTCAGAATCCTACTTGATTATGTTATATACATATACGTTTTGTTTAGTTGTCAATAAAGTTATTTTTGTCAAAGTTGATAAGAATTTTCTTTCTACCGAAAATCACATAACTCTACAGGTTATGGGCTCAGGTAAAGCTGTAGCAAATTAAAGAAAGCTTTAAAGTACGGTAGAAACGTCGGCGACAATGAACACGGCAGTTCCAGCATCCTTCGAAAAGTTGGAACGGGGCGAAAACTACATGGATTGGAAATACGCAATGGAAATCCACCTTATAAATTGTGAATTGTGGGAATTCGTTACTGGTTCCAAAACAGATGAAGCAAAAAGCAAAAGAGCTTTAGCAGCAATAGTATCGGGCGTAAAATCCCATATTTATACGGAAATAAGAAATCTCAAAACGGAAGAAGAAGTATGGGATCGATTGGAAAAAGTTTTCCAACCAAAAGGTTTTTCCAGAGTAGCCTCTTTGATAGAACAACTGGTTTCAATAAAATACAGCGAGTGTCAAGGAATGGACGAATACCTTTCCAAGAAAGTAAAATTGGCACAGCAGCTCAAATCCATTGATTGCGAAATCAGAGACGGTGTACTCCCTGCGCTAATATTCGTAAGTTTACCAGACCATTTCAAACCCCTAATAATGGCACTGGAAAACTGTGGAGCCACGCTCACAACAGATCTTGTAAAAGAACGTTTATCGGCCGCAGCATCAAAAGCAGAAGACAAAGATAACGATCCAGCGTTAATAGCACATAGTAGTTTTCAAAGAAGAAAGTCAACACGAAACAACCAAATCAAATGTTACAATTGCAATCGATTTGGACATATTGCCAAAGATTATCGAAAAGGAAATAAAAGGAGACAAAAAGGCAACGTAGTAGAGTCAGAAGCAGAAGTAGGGCTAATACTAAATTCCTCGGTACTTGAGATAGCAAACCTCAACCCAGCAGATTGGTACATCGACTCTGGAGCATCGGTACATGTAACGCACTAACTGTTTGCAGAAGGTAATGCATATGAAGCCAGACGAATATACCAAGAACATTTTCTAGGATTCATAGATGTTTTCAAGAGAATTTTAAAAGTAGACCACATCGCTAAAGGAGTCCATCAAATAGTAAGAACACCGGAACTTGTAGAAAGAATTTTTCATGAAAATGAGAACCCCGAAACTAGCACAAGAAAAATGGCGACATTTAATGTTTCACATGTACTGGAACATTCTCATCGAAAATTTGTTATATTCACATCACATTTAAAGAGTCCGAGCGTTACTCCCTAGAGATTTCCCGTTCCGCATTAATTTCTGTTATTTGACAGGCACAATTTTTTTACCAATGAAGCTAATTTTTCTCAAAACTCAATAATAACCATTTATGGGCGAATGAAAACCCTTATGCAACTGTTGCATTAAATCATCAAGAACAGATCTCAATAAACATTCATCTCAAAGTAGTAGACTTTTTCTACTCGTGTAATATTCCGTTTACAATTGTGATAATTACAAATGGTCAGTGCTTTATGATCAGATTATGTGCTGCCTAATAGAAAGCAACTCTCAGAGTCATTGTTGGATGAAGTTTATGATATTTATAAGAAAAAAATGGCGGAAATATTGTTCGAAAAGGAAAGTAACCGTCCTATTACTCTTATGCTTCATGGATGGTCTAGCTGCAAAAATGATCCAATACTGGCTTCTGGATTACATACTGGTAAAAGCTCCATGTTATTGTCATCAAAAGACTGCTGCTCAGATAAAAAACCGCTGAGTAGCACTTGCAGGTGGCAGAAGAAAATATCAAATTTTGTAAAGAAATATTTACAATAGTGACTAATAATGAAAACAAAATGAAAATTTTTAGAAAACACCTCAGCGATAAATATCTAAATATATTAACATACGGTTGAAGTGCTCATTATTTAAACATATTAGAAAACTCTGTATCACCTCGCACAGTTTTAAAACACCTCGTAGAAATCCAAGCATACCTGAGAAATCATCACCAACCGCACGGGTTATTAAAAGAAGAAGAAAAAAAAGTATTTATGGCACAAATTCCGAACGACACATGATGAAATTTCCAAATTACATGTGCGCACACTTTTAATTCAAATTACCTTATATACAGAGACATTGTCAAAGATCACCCACAATTTTTAGATGAAAATATAACTAGGAAAATCAATGACATGAATATTTACAAAAATTCTTTAGGCTTAGTACCTACAGTTACAGTTAATTGGTAATGCTCTGGTTAAGCTACAAAGCGATCATGTAACTCTAGCTGATGCAGTTCTAATTTGGAATTAAATATTAAATAATAAAAATATTTAACCCTATAAGTTAGATATTAATAAAAAAAATTAAGGAAGCGATGCACTTTGTTTTTTAACTGATCCAAAGTTTCTAGAAACATCACTGGCTGGAGAGTATGAAATAACTGCAGAAAAATGGTTGACTGAATTCTGTGAGGACTATTTACAAAGATATTTACTGTTAAGAATTAAGCAGACAGATCTTTACCCAAGCATTATGTTTTCAGAATCAATTATAAAGGCAATATCAGAACATAAATGGTGGCTTATTATAGGTGCTAAATTTAATTTACAACAGAGAAATCCTTCGTTAATTAAAATGGCAACATTTTTCGCTGATCTGCACAGTTGTCCAGCAAGTTCGGCATCCCTGGAGAGGATATTTAGATTTATTTATTTAACAACATTACATTAATTTACAAGGTTTGTAGCAAGTCTTAGTAAAATCGAATTTTGTTTTTTATTTTTTTATTTGGTACAAATACATTTCATACAATTAAAAATTAAATTAACATAAAAATCAAATTATAATTAAAGGTAAAGCACCTAGGTGCAAGCACCTGTATGTGCTAAAGTAAAGTAATAGCATAGTAATATACACATTTATAATTATAGTATACATACATATATACATAGTTTTAAAATATCTGTAATAAGAATACAAAATTATCTAGAGTACATCTCTATATGCACCAATATTAGAAGTGATATACTGTTTTGATTTCTTCTGAAATAATTTTAAATTTATGTTCCTAACATTGACAGGTAAGGTGTTAAAGATTTTGGGATCAACATAAGTTACAAATCTTTGACTTGCATCTCGCTGAACTGCTGGAGTTCTCAGATTCTCATTTAATCTGGATCTTGTGATGTACAAGTGCTTTGCAGTATGTCTCAGTTCAGGCTTTCTATAAATAAAAGTACAACAACAATGATAATATAATGTTCTTATATTAAGCACTTGTTTGTTATACAAGAGAGATACGATTTTGGATTACATTAAGAGGTTGAAGTGCTATATCATATAAACCACCCCATATTATTAAACACTGCCTACTATCACATCCATGACTGGTATCATATTTTGTTTTATATTTCAGATTCGACATAACACAATTTTTACATGATAATATATTATTTGAACAATCACTTTTTTGGTGTTCTTCAGAACAATTTAGACATAAATTTTATGGATGCAGTTTTCCTTCTTATGAAAATATCCTTGACAGTTGTAAAACTTGGGTATAGTTAGATCTTCAAAAACGCTATTCCTTTCCCATCTGTAATATTATATTTTTAAAAATAATAATAATACGAATGCAAGTAATGAGTATTTTATTTGACAGCGTTCACAACTGACTTGTAACAACATTCTCTTGTTTAAGCCTGCTGTTACATCTCCCTTTACAAAACACAATAAGAATGCAATGTAGCTAAATAAACTATCTAAATCTCAACTAAGGTACAAGCTAGAACTTCTTTCTCAATTGGTGGAAAGTTTCGTTGAGAATCAGTGAAGGATTTCGAAAAATAAGCAACTGGTTTATCATCTTGCAATAATACTGCACCCGCTGATTTTTCGCTAGCATCTGATTGTATGGTGACATCTGCATTAACGTCATAATACTTAAGAATAGGTGGAGATATAAGCAATTCCTTGATTTTTGAAAAAGCTTGTTCCTGTTCGTAGTCCCATTTAAAGCAAACATTGTTTTTTATAAGTTCACGTATCGGTGCTGTTAACTCAGACAGATTTGGAATAAATTTGGCAAGATAATTCACCATTCCTAGAAGTCTTTGGACTTGCTTTTTTGATGAAGGAATCTCCAAATGTTTGATAGCTTCTACCTTCTCTTCGTCAACCCCTAGACCTGAATTGGTAAACAGATGCCCTAGAAACTTTATTGTATCTTTGCAAAAAGTGCATTTAGTTTTATACCAGATTGATTTAGTTTTTTGATAACCAGGTCTGTTATCTGCATATTTTTTTCCTTTGTTTCGGCATATATCAGTATGTCATCCATGGAATTTTCAACGTTTGGTATATCTTTCAATACGTTA